AAGAAAGAAAGAAAGAAAGAAAGAAAGAAAGAAAGAAAGAAAGAAAGCAGCTCTGATTCTTACACAAAATGAAATGCTTTTTCGTTTGTATCTCAAACAATGGAATATTGAGGAGTGACCAGAACTGCTCCAACGATTTTGAACATTTTGCAGCAGGTTTTGTATCAACTTTCAACATTCTACTAAAAGGATTTTACTTTTTTTTTAAAGAGACCAATATATACATCTTATCAGCTATCTGAAAACTGAGGAGGCTTGTGTTTGTATGTGAGGAAAGCTTTTTAGAACAACTTCTGCTCCAATTTCAACATTTGCTATTCTTGCTAAAAACAGGAATGACAAAAGGTATGTTTTATGCTGAATTATTACACTGATATTGCAACATTTTTTTGCTGCACATTGGGCAGCAAATGATTTAGTTTCAGCTCCAAATATTACATGAAGCATTTGACTTTCATTAAATTTGGTGCTGTTAATAAAATAAGCACTATACCAGAAAAGACTATAGTCATGCCAGAAATAGCCATGTATTTATAGCTAGCTTTCTGAAAGCAAGCATGCTATGTATTTCCACAATTTTATTGTATACTTCATTTTTCCACATAGAGGAGGGCTCCTCTGAAAGTAATGCCTCCTATTTTATGATGTTGGCCCATGACATCAGAGGCAGATGGTGGTATGGCACTAAAGGGGCCCCTGAGAAAATGGCTTCTGTCATGGAAGTGTGGATGAAGCAGAAGTGTGCCACTGGATGCCAGCACGTGGAAAAAATTGTGCCCATTGACACCCACTGATTCTTGCTGAACATTTATGGAGACCAAAGAGTGGATGTGAGCACAGGGCAGAGGTGGGTGGTGCATTTCAGAAGTGCCTACAGTGGGCTGCTCCCACTGCTGTAGTGAATGTGGCATGCAGACTCTTGTCCATTACTGGTGAATATGGCTAATGGTGGTGAAAAAGAATGTTTTGTAGTTGAGAATTTCATCTATCAAATAGTGTTGTGTGCTTTGTAATGATTGGAGTTTTCGTGGACATAAATAGGAGGCATTACTTTTGGAGTGATCTATGAATATTAAACTGTTACAATTAGTGTAATTTGGTTTAGAGTAAATATTTTGAAATAATTTAATTACTGGCTGTTAGGCCTGGTCAGTTATCAGAGAATATAACTAATAAGAATATTGCAGTATCTTTCCTACAAAAACAGAATAACCAAACTAAACCCCAACTTTTCATGATTTTATCACAGATCATTAATTTAGCATTAAAAAAGAAACAAAATGGCCAACACATAGTTATAAAAGTTATACCATTTTTACTAAAAGAACAGGTTCTGTAAACCAGCTTTCATTTATGTATCAGCAACTGAATTTTAAAGAAGGAAACATAGCACAACATAGAGGTCCAGCAAACTGAACTCTCAAAATTTTTTATGTAAAAGTACCTTTATTTAAAATGAGGATCCTGAAAACAATTTAAACAGGGGCTGTTCTTTGGCCTATAATCTATTCTTTATCCGGATTACAGATCAGAGTGTTTTTACTGCAATCTCTGCCAGAGCTCATCTTTTTATTGTGTACTTCCAAGCCCCCTTAATGTTTTAGAAAGGCCTTGACTAACTGAACTTTGATCTGATGTCTTCATTGAGAAAAGCTCCAGGTTGCCCATTTCAGATGCAAATCCTTACTGAGGCCCAATAGAGTTTAGTAAAGACAGCAAAAAAGAAGAAACAAGAAGTTTCCAGGATCCTCTTTGAGAATCCTGAGGCACATTGGTGTCCTTAATCCACCCTGCTGCATGGATTAAGGTAGGTGATAACCTCTCTTGATTCAAAAGAATAAGCACAGTGCCTACAAACTGGGTGGAGACTAGGATTTGGCTATAATAAAACACCATGCAATAAAAGCTCGGGCTATGCCAGAAGCCTATGAATAGGCCTCAATGTACTGCATTCCCAGGCTTAGTGGGGAAGCTTGCAAAAAGCCTACCTGAATCAAGTAAGCATGAATAATCTGCCTTAGCAGAATGACCATGGAGAGCGTGAAGCAGAAACTTTCCATTCCTCTTAAGTTTGACGTGATAAATTTATTAGTGGATTGTAGGCTCAGGCCTGTTCTTTTCTGGGCTCCTGTTTTGCACAAGGAGAAATACACTAAATTGTCAGTGAGCAGAGTGTGCTTTTATGCTACCGTCTGCTGTTAATGTTTCTAATTGCAATACTAATGTGCTAGAAATCTCAGATTTAGGATGAATCAAGGCAGAAAATTGATTTCATGCTGTGACAGTTTATATATTGCCCCAAGAACATAAGCAGTTCATTCAGAAAAAAAAAAAAAGAAAAAGAAAAAACACAGTCTTGCATTGCAAAACAGGCTATCCATATACTCAGAAGTTTAAATTAACCTCTGGAACAGATGAAAGCTAACAAAGTGGCAATGGCACATCAAGCAAAACAAGATCTGTTACTCTGACAGACTTCTGATAAACCATCTATCTGTTTCTGATGTCCAGGGTACCAAAACATGTAAAAAGCAGTTCTGGCAATTATGAAGAGGTCTGATGTAATTATCAGGCATTAATATCACGAAGGCCAGCCACCTAGCTGGCTCGTAAGAGGTGTAGCAAAAGAAAAGTTAATGTCTAAACTATTAACAATTATCTCTTAATTACTTGCAAATAAAAACTAAATTAGAATAAAACTAAATCAAGACTACCACCAAGACAACTTCTACTCAGCATTCTTACTACATGTACAGCCAGATCCTGGACAGAAAAGTTTTCTGCTAACATGTTCAGAGTTCCAGTTAGAAGTACGACTACTTTCATGCTTGAAAATTTTTGATAGTAGCTTTTAAAAATGTACTAATTTCTTAGCTCGATCCATTTGGAAAATATGCCTTCAAATTTTATTCACTGTTGTTTGTTGTTTTTTTTTCTGCTAAAACAAAATTTTAAAGAATTAATTAACAGCTTTAGCTGTAATAATATGTGTAATGTAATAAATAAACGATATTACCGAGTACTGTAAACCATCCAGGGTACTGTAAGGCAACATGAAAAATTCTCCTCCATGAAGTATTCCTGCCACTCGACTAGAATATTCTGAAGTATCTTTAACACAGAAAGGTTAAGAACCAGACTTTTTTCTTTTTTCAAAAAGAAATCTATGCATTAAAATTTTGCACATCAATTATTCAGAATGATCATATTCCAATTTAAAAAAGCGTCAGCAGTAACAAGGGGAACACCCTGCCAAAGATTGATCACTCTATTTTGCATAAGCAAATTTTAATAATTGTGGACAAATACTGTAGGTATTGTATTGGAAAATACTCTAGTACTGGATTGAGTAATAACAAAGGGTGAGTACACACCTAGCCAAATTATCTGTTTTTCTGTTTTGTTAGAACATCAGAACACTACTTGTTGACCACGTGCAATTCTTTCCATATCAATGTACTAGGAGTTCTGTTAGATTTCAAATCAGACGGTTTATTTTGGGGATGGTTCAAAGAGGCACAGCAAGCTTCACAATAATAAAATTGATGAGATTATATGATTACCCTGGAGGCTGTTTGATTTGGCATGTCACCATATATAAGTCTTTTCTGACACAACTATATAGCCATGTCTGTGCAATTTCACAGAAAACCAAACATGCCAAGCCTTATAAGATCATTTTGTCACATTCCAATTATGTTTTTAAGAATATGACTGAACTTACTAGGCAGTTATGACTAAAACTAGAATTTATGAAACATGTGGGCTAAAACATATAGGCAAAACAAGTTTTCTGTTCCAGATAGTCAAAAATGCTGTAATTTTATTAAAAGTTGATTGTGCCATTAAATTAAATAAGAAAGTCACCAGCCACAGGAAATACATCATTCACACAACACTAACAGCTGTAAACTCTGAATGACTGACCACTGTGCTTGTTTCTTGTATTCTCCCTGCACAGCGATTAGTTTCTAGTGACAGTGAAGTTGATATAATTTCAAGTGCTTACTTTAGTTGTTATGCACATGGCTAAGCAAGTCAACAGCTTGCTTCAACACAGTGCTTGCATTAAAGAGATCTAGTAAGCACTGTCCATCAAACCTTCATTAGCCATTTGTGTACTGCTACATCTAGGAGAAGTTTCTTAGTGACCAAATCATTCCAGCTTTTTTTAATAATGCTCATTGAAAAATCCCAAAGCAATTCATTTGTCTTCTACATTTTTACTGTCTATATTAAATTTTACATTTCCTGTAAATGCTCAAATTCCTTTTCTCTCTGTATTTCTAGGAATCAATACATATATCGTTCTAGGATGATTTACTTTACTTTCAGGAGGTAATCATGTAGCACTGTCCTGTGCTGGAAAGCACTTGCTGTGCAAGAGGAACAGTTGTGAAATACCAAAGACTTACCTCCACTTTTGGTGCATTTTGGTAGCGCCAGGCTATTTGCATAGAGTCCTGACAATCTTCAGACTTGGCAGCTGTTGCTTCTACTCGTTCAGTTTTGAAGTTATCATCAAGCAAAGGGGCTGGAAGTTCCTACAGGTGAAAAGTGAAGGAATGTCTACTACCTGGTTTTAAACTAATGGTTTTACATTGAGACAGGAGAGGTTTAGGTTGGATATGAGGAGGAAGTTTTTCCCCAGAGGGTGGTGAGGCACTGGAGCAGGTTGCCCAAGGAGGCTGTGGATGCCCCATCCCTGCAGGCATTCAAGGCCAGGCTGGATGTGGCTCTGGGCAGCCTGGGCTGCTGGTTGGCGACCTGCACACAGCAGGGGTTGGAACTGGATGAGCACTGTGCTCCTTTGCAACCCAGGCCATGCTATGATACCTGCCTAAACATCGCAGCAGTTCAGATTTTTATCTAAAGAATGTACGTTGGCCATAATATGGTTCTCTTCATGTAGTGGACAGTTCCAAAGTCCATAAAAAAGACTTTAAAATATTTTTAAAATAATTGTTCTGAAAGCTCAGATAATATTAAGCGCAATTAATCTGTGAGATTGTTACACACACACACACAAAGATTGCACATTTATAAGAGAATGCGGAATGGAAATACAATATTGCACGTGCTACTATACACAAACAGTACATCTCGAGCAGCATCCATAATTCCTGCTTGCCCATTCTTCTTCAAAAGCTGCTCTCCTAAACCATTCTGGAGAAGAGGTAAGCTCCTTGTATCGCGAATTTGCATTGAAATCTATTTGATAATAAGTTCACATTTCCTTGCCAGCTTTTCTAAAACATTTAAAAGCATTCAACAGATCACAATAGCCTATAGGCACAGGCTGAAGATGACTGTAACAGAATGGTTTGAATCCTCTCTTCTGCTACCATCACACGTATCTACTAATGACAAATACCTTATGAACACAAACAAAGGAGCAAAAGGAAGGAACAGGTATTTAATTCTTAAGTTTCAAATACAAACATTTCTTGCTTGAAAAAACAAGCACTGCAGATAAGTGGACACAGACTTGGAATAGAATTTATCACAGACTTTCTGATAGTGCAGACTGTTTTGTACTGCTGAAAAAGCAGGGGGATGACAAACACTGCACTTATGCAGTGTGCTTCTACGTCTATGAGATGTGTGAAATACAGCAATTTTCCGACCCATCTTTATCACTCATCTGTGGAAGACAGAGGGCAAAGCAACTCTTTATCTGCCTTGAACAGATCAAAACTGTGCTTAATCTTAGTTTTGTTTAAGTAAAGTCTTGCTAGAGCACTGAGATGCGGACATAAAAGAAACACACTGGAAAACTGTTAAAAGAATAATCTTGATTGAAATATGGGTTGTACACGAAACACAGAACATAGGCACAGTTAGTAAAAAAAACCTATACAACTGTCTGCATGGGCAAAGATGGTATCAACACAGAGAAATAAGACAGATTAAATAAGAAAGATTAACTGAATCCATGTCAGGTTTTGCATTGTACTAATTTGGAATTAAATAACACAGGAGAGATGTAGCCCAATAAGTAACCTTACAAACAACATGCATTATTTTGTTTCTTCAATGTTAATTATCATAATACCTACAATTAATGACCAAATTGAGAACAAAGGCTTCTAATTTTGGAACAGTTGTTTCCCTCTCTCTCAGTGGTTGGTCAGTGCACCCTCTGAGATTAAAGGTATTGAAAACTAAGAAAACTTCTACGTAATTGCTTCAGTAAAGTTATAGGAAAGAACTGTATCTACATATTTCAGCAGTGAATAATTTTAATTTATTTACTTTGCTTTAGCAAATGAATTGCAAAAGCATTTGGGGAGGCTCAGATTTCCCTGTTCAAAAGTAAATTTCCATATTTTTAATTAAGGAAACAATGTAACAATTTACATTATCTGCCTCCTCAACTGAAAGAATTTCTTTCTAAAGAATGAATCATAACCATATGTTAAAAAACAAAACAAAACAAAAAACAACTTGTTGATTAACTAGCCTGTATTTCCAAAGATGTTGTTTAACTCTTGCTATCAGCAGAATTGTGTCTATGAAGGAAAAAAATGAGCTAAATATTAAAATAAGTTCCAAGGGAAAATGTTAAATGTCCAACTAAAACTGAAGTGCAAAATTCAGGTTATTTCAAATCTGTTCCCTGAACTGTAAGTTTGCATTATATTTATTTGGACAGCTTTGTGCTACATTATATGGTATACATATAGCCCTAAGCAGAATTTGCAGGTATATTTTCCTTCCATTCACCAACATCAGCTGTCTCCCATTACTCTTTGCAACTTTTTATCACAGTGGCTAACCTGTGTTTCTCTGGAAAGAGATGTCAGACACGTTTTGGAAGATATCATCTAATCCTGTCTAAGCACTTCATCCCACTCCCTGAAATTCCCATTGTTTCAGCTCTCACTGCTGATGCCATCAGCCACCACCTCACCCTGCTGTATTATGACTGGACAGCTATTGTGCCATCTGCAAAGCTGAAAGCCAGGAAACGCCATGGTTTGCCACTCACCTTACTGCAACTTAAAGAGAAAAACATTCCCAATCTTTTCCTAAGGGCATTGAATAATTTCCTCCTCCAGAATCATCAGCTGCATTGCTGTTTTTTTGACAAAAAATTTGACGAAGAGAAGTTTGAGACAGGGACACTCAGTTGTATATGTTTGCTCTTATCACAGACAGTGCCTTCGTAGTTTTCACACCGAGTATCTTCTGCTAGAACAAAGCAGAGGTCAAGAGAGTAAGAGCTGAGTTTCCCCAAGCATTACTGGGAATCTGCAAGCTCCTCCAATGCCTATGTGACACCAAAAAAGTTCCTGCCTTGCACTCAAACACAGAACCGTTCCCTCTTGCATGGCATGATGCTGAATGAGAGATGTTACAAACTGAACCCCAGGATCAGCTGTGAGGCAGTTAGCGCATGGGGTCAGCTCAGCTCCATCTGGCGCTGTCTTCTCCCTTGCTGCCCTACAGAAGGGACCAAGAGCACATGAAGAACCCTCACACCAAAGGAATACTTATTTTCCCCAGCTGTTTTTCCAAAACCTTTCACCCAATAACTACTCTGCCTAGTTGAACAACGTATCCTGGATGTACCATGTTCTTTTGTCTCTAAGCAGGAAACAAGTTCATGTAATACACTGGGACTCAAAACATCACTGGTGTTACTTGGTCTGACAGCCATATCATTTTTTTGTCCCAACACTTTAAAGAAGAATATCCTGGATCATTCTTGCATGAGGTGGTTATGAACTTTATTGCCTCTTAGTAAGCTTCTTAAATATTCTAGCTGCAACCTGGAAGAAGCAGTCTGCCTTTGGTATTTTGAAGACCAATCGCTTCAGCTCTACTGCATGCACTAACTTGGTTAAATACGTTGTACTTAAGTGTGAACAGGAAACATGTTTCATATTTCCCACATATTATCTAAGTATATTGGTAATGTATGTTTTAGGTAAAGGTCCACGAGCAGAACTAGTAAAAATTGTTGCCCTCCAGATTTGCTTTTTAATATCATCACTATCACCCCAGCTTCTATTAAAACTTTTTCCCCACTATTTACGCTAACATGCATGAAAGAGAGGCAAAGCACTGTTTGGATGCATGTCTATGCTGATGGGAAGCCATACATTCATTAGCCTGGTAGAAGACTAAATAGAATGCATAAATGGCTGCTAATGTGGTTATTCCTTGGGATGTACAGATTCATGTTTCCCAGTACATAATTAAAAAAACAAAACAAAACTGCAAGTAGATTCTTGTAGAGCCACATTTGGAGAGGGAGAAGGTTTAAAATCAGTTAATAGGCCTGGGATGAGGAGAATTAGCAAAGAACACAAATAAACCCTCTATGGACAGTACTGAAAACACTGATATTAAAATAATCCAAACACTTAGTCCTCTTCTCATCTTTATTATAACTAGAAATGGAATAAAAGGCCTTCCCTTATTCAGGCACCATTCAAATTATATGCTGTTCTTTGTTTCAGGGAAGTAACTCTTTGCAAAACTGTATGCAAGTGACAGCATACATGAGCAAGAAAAACTCAGGTGTGTTGACAAAGATAAAGGCTGTGTGGCTGGGCACGTACAGCTCAACTCTTCAGTGCTATGAAAAGTTTCCTTATGGTCGAAGAAGCACAAAGCATTCAGCATTTCTCAGGTTTTTTATTTTCATTTTTTTTCAAAAGAAGGAAAAATATGAAGAGTTACAGAAAGGGTGGAGCAGATCAACAGCCAAACCAGCCCCCAGATACTTCTGTCTCAGTTGTACAGAAATAGAACTGAAGGCAGTACAGTTGGACACGCATGGAGAGCAGTGGAGGACATGGTTTCAAAGAGTGACATTTGAAGACAACTGAGCCTGGGCTTTTCCTCAAAATATCTGAGTATGGAAGATTGCCTAGATTTGCCCAGAGAGGCTGTGATGCCCCGTCCATCCCTGGAGGTGTTCAAGGCCAGGTTGGATGGGGCCCTGGGCAGCCTGGGCTGCTGTGAAATGTGGAGGTTGGTGGCCCTGCGTGTGGCAGGGGGCAGAGGTCCCTTCCAACCCTGGCCATTCTGTGATTCTGTGATAGCAAATCGGGGCTTTAGCACATCTTCTCTCTCTTTCTCCCTGATCACTTACTAATTACAAACACAAACATTAGTTTCCAGCAGTCTTATTAAATCATCATTTGTTTGAGAACTAGACATCTCTACCATAAATAAAAAGCACTGAAAATTCTGCCGAGGTTATCACAAGGATAACCCCATTTTGATAATTTCTGAATCCAAAAACGATTCAGAACAGTTTGCCTGTTTAGGATTAAATCAACCTGTATTCTTAAAATGAAAATCAGAATTTTGGAATAAAAGACTAAAACATCTAAAAGTTACTTCTAGAATCTGGAACTGAAAGCGCTCATTATAAAAACAAAAGACAAGGAAGATGAGAGTTAATTTGTCAGCCTATATTATCTCCATTGAACCTATTTCTGCTTAAAAGTATCTCGGCTCCCACATCATATAGCTTTGAAAAGCTTTGGGACTGACAATTTTGTGGCATGACTGTGTCAAGTCCTGA